GGCAAGCCTGGACTATAGAATATTGGACCGTTGTCTCAACTAAAAAGAAAAGATACACAATGAAGTCTACAAATCTGGTGTTCAATAAATTTTAAGAAGTCCCAGACTGGGCATGGTGGCCCATACTTGTAATCTCAGCACTAAGAAGTAGGAGACTTGCGGCTCACCAGGAGATATATGTCAGCCAAGCCTTCTTAGAGTGATTTGTCTTTAAAAAGAAAAGGTTGAAGGTATCTAATTTATGACACCCAAGGTTGGCCTCTGGGTTATACATGCAAACAACAAACACATGCATATATACCCAAATACACAAATAGAGCTCATAGAGTCTTTTTCTTTGAAAGGAAGCATAAATATATGGTTGACTTTGAGCCCAGCCGATGGACAGCCATCTTTGAATAAATTGATGATTCTGTGACAAGCTTCATGACCAAAATCAACTTGGAGAGGAACGGGTTTATTTGGCTTAGTTATCTATATCACAGCCCACCATGAAGGCATGCCAAGGCAAGAACCTGTAAGCAAGAACTGAAGCAGAAAGTACAACAAAGGAGCACCTGTTTGCAGGTGTCACTGCCCACATTGGCCTGGGTCATCCATCCCTCATTAATCATTTCATTAATCAAGAAAGTTATCCCACAGACACGCCCACAGACAAGACTGATGGATGCAATTTCTCACTTAAGAGGGACTTAAGTCCCTCTTCCCAGATGACTTTAGTTTGTGCTAAGTCAACAGGCTAATTGGAAAAAGTATAACTTTGGTCATATTTTGCCACAAAAGTGACTGACTAGGTGTTTATATGGTCTGGTTCAGAGTTTTCTGATTTGTTAAATTGGTTTTCTTTGTTTTTATTACCTAGCCTGAAAAAAATTCGTGGCAAAGTCTGGAAACAGAGAATATCCAGCCCTCTGTTCAACACCAAACAATACACAATGGAATTAGAGCGGCTCTATCTGCAGATGTGGGAGCATTATGCAGCTGGCAACAAACCTGACCACATGATTAAGCCTGTTGAAGTCACTGAGTCAGCTTGAATAAAGACTGTACACAGGAGAATTGCCCCTATACCTGAGCCTCAACCTTCTGGGGAAAGGGAACTAGATAACATGCTTTGTGCTTATCTGTATAGTACTGTGTTGCAGACGGGTGATATATAATGATAATAGAATAGCACAGCCAGACTTGCTTCCTGCATGATAGGGAGAGACAAGAATAAGAAACTGCTATTCCACAAGGAGTCTCTGTAGAGTTTTGTAGGAAACAGGTGGTGCACAGGTCTGGAAGGTCTGGTCTCCCTTGGTCTTCCATGGGATGCTTAATGTGGTGGGAGATAGAGATTAACCAGCCGTTTTGTGATTCCGTGGATTGATCAAGTCTTCTGATCCTTTATTTTTTTTCTCTTTATATTTTGGGTTTTGGAGCTTTTAAAAATGTTTGCTTTCAGGTATTTTTACTCTTGTGAAGTGATCGTGATTCTTCTGAGATGAGGTTTTTAAACTACAATGTTGCTTCCTGTTTTGGTGTCTGAACTCTGACAGGGTGACAGGGATCTTGCTGGTGTAGTCTTTTTATAGGTTTTATAAACCACATGAGCCTATATCAGTCATTTTAGTGTCTAACCTAATGCTTGGCACTGGCAGTGCTTTGCTTAGATGATGACTTAAGAGTTTTCAGCCCGTTTTCCACACCCTGCCCACAGCCTCCGTTTAAATTCTCCTGTTACTGCTAACAAAACCAAGTCTGCTTTCAGACATCCCAGAGTGTTTCTCTTAGACACGCCATCTGGTGCCAAATGAAAATTCTTAGGAGTGAATATTAATCATGAAGGTCACAGTTGTGGTACTGTTATTGATAATAATGTAGGGGTTTTTTTTTTTTGCCTAAGTTTTACCTATTTCACCAGTGTTTCAGCCGTTGACTGCCCCTCCTATGCTGCTTCCAAAAGTGATAGTGTATGATACGATTTTTACCTTCCTTTCTAAAGTTTGTTTTTTTTTTTTTTAAAGTGAGTCCTGTTCTTCCTATTTCTTTCAGCAGAAATGAAATCCCAGGTAAGTATATAAGTATTCAAATATTTGATTAGTAAGTTACAGTTATCTCCAGTACATTAAATAATGTTCACCAACAGATTTAGAAGTAAAAGCTCTAAAGAATCATCTCTACAGACAGTTATTTTTTAGAATGTGTTAGGATGTATTGTCTGGAATTAGTTTCAAAATCTATGGATTTGGCCTTGGTAGCAGTGAATTGTACCACCACTTGGCTTGGACTACAAATTAGACATTGGCCCTTGAGGAGCTTGAGTTCTTGATGGTAAAAAACAGTTGCATTTCTGTAAAGGATAGAGGGCTTGAGGCCTAAACGTATGAATATGTTTGTACTGCTCTACTGCACTGATACTCTCCAGTCACTGATCAGTCTTGTCTGTTAGTAGTGCTGTAGATTATGTGTTTTCCAAAGCACCTAGGCAGTGCACCTATTCTGTAGTTGCAGCTATTGCCTGAATGTACCTTAGCTGACAAAATATTGATAACTAAGAACTTGAATTTGTGATTCTTACTGCTAATTAAAACCTAAGCAAGGAGTCTCATATAATTCTGATAGCAGAATTGTGTTGTGATGAACTGTGTACCTTTAGTAATGTAAATCAAGGAACATCAGTTAAGAGATTTCTTAATTTATTTTTTAACTGAATAAATATCAGTTAAAGATTGCCAGCATGGTTACAGGTAAATTGATTTTGAAAATTCACTGAAGTACTAAATGTGGGATTGGATAATAGATTTACAGTGCTGCTAAGGCTGAGATCTGTGGCCATTTACATAGCACATCATTTGTCCTATGGGGATGAACTTTTTTCTGGCACGAGAATTAGCCACTCCAGCTAAAGCTTTTGCTTATTGTAACAGGGTTTTATTTTCAGGTAACCTGTCTGTGGAAGACTTAATTCTGAATAGAGTAATAGATATTACTGGAAACTGATTTTTTTCTACTATACTCTGCTTTATTGAAAAAAGTAAAGCATTTAAAATTGTGCTCCAGAAATTCAGATGTTGTCTTGCGATCTTTAAACAATAAATGGATTATTTCCCCTTATCATGGCTTGGTGTATTTTGTCTCATTATATTGAGTATTACTGATGATGCTCATGATGATGATACTGAGTATGCTTGAATAGCTCAAAACAGTACAACCAGAAGTGTCTCCTTATTTTAAGTTGACATTAGGAATTAACGTTTATATTCTTTCTTCTGATGGGTTTGGAGATGGTAAATAGTCCATTTAGGGGAATACAAAGCCTCAAATACCCATATAGATTTTTGTGGCTCGTTGTTTACCTTCCATTCTGAGGATTATACATATCAAGCAAGTATATTAATATTGAGCTATAACAGCCTATATAGTTTTAATTCTTAATATGGACTAGTCTTTTTTTAGGTATATGTAGACAGAACTATTTTCCCTCTATGGTATACAAACTCAGCCACAAGTTTGACTTCCAGTTTTTTCAGAGACATAAAAGGGAAACATTTGGAGCTGGAAAGATTGCTTAGCAGTTGAGAGCACTTGGATGTGCTTCCAGAGGTCCTAGGTTCGATTCCCAACATCTACTTGGCAGACTGTAATTACAGCTCCAGGGGATCCGACACCCTCTTTTGACTTCCTTTGATATGCATGTGGTGAACAGGTATACATACAGGTAAAGTACTTATGAAATTAAAGTTAACATGGTACATACGCACATTTAAAAAAAGGGGGGGGGGAATGGGGTTGGGGTGGCAAATGCCTTTAATCCTAGCACTTGGGAGGAAGAAGCAGGTAGTGCCCAGCCTGGTGTTCTACAGAGCTAGTTCTAGTACATAGAAGACTATACAAGTCCAAGACTACAAAGCCTGGCTTGAAAAACTGAAAAACCAAACCCATGTATAGTGGCACATACCTTTAATCCAAGTACTCCAGAGGCAAGGAGCAGGTGGACCTTTGTGAGTTTGAGGCCAGCCTGGTCTACAAAGTTTCAAGACAGCTAGGACTGTTATATAGAGAAACTATCTTCAAAACAAAACAAAAAAGGGAAATGGTTGTTTTCAAGTAAACTTTCAGTTGTTTTCCTTAGTTCCCAAAGCCCTTGCATAGATTTGTGTTTGTTGGTGTCTGGGTACTGTGAGTCACAATGATTAATAGGGATCTGTGTGTTGTGATTCACAACTATAAAATCCCAGCACTGGGGAGTTTAGACAGAAGAATTACCAAAGGTCCAAGGACATCCCAGGCTGAATAGTTGAAACCCTGTCATAAAAAGATTGTATAGGAGGAAAGGTTGGCTTTTATCACTAGTTGAACAGTGGTTTGGGATGAAGTTAGGTAGCCATCAGAGCCTGTACTTCACCCTCGTTAAGAGTGCATCATCTCATCTTTGGTTCCTCCTGCATTCAAAGAATTGCCTGATGGATAAAATAAATTTCTGTAACCTCCGAACTGCCTGTATTTTACCGTTTTGTGTGTTGATTTTCAAGATTCCATGTAGCCAAAGCTGGCCTTGAACTTCAGATCCTCCTATGTTCTTAAGAGAGCATTAGCCTTGCCACTGTGTCCTACTGTTTTAGCTTTTGTTCCTTTTTTTTGACAGGGTCTTACTACATAACCCTGGCTGGCTTCAAACTTAATTAACCTTTTGCTTCCGTTTCCTGAGTCCTGGAATTACAGTTATGTGCCACCATACCTGGCTGAGAGTTAATTTGACTCAACTTTTATTTGAAGGTTTTTGTTCAGACATTTACAACGTTGTTCAGGCTTGTCTTGAACCTCTCTCCACATCTCAAGTGCTGGGAAGTATAGGTATGTACTACCACACTTGGCTTATGTTATATATATATATATATATCTCAATACACATTCTATATTAGTATATAATTATATATATATAATTTCTATTGATTATTTGGGAATTTTATATCATGAACACTAGTCAGACTTCCCAGTTCTGCTTACCCACTCTTTGACCTCTCCCCTCCCCCCTAAAAGAAGAAAGCAAGTCCAGTTTGTGTTGCCCATAATAGTCACTAGAGGACAAACTCCCAGTGGCCAGCCCCTTAAAGAGTCTTTCCCCATCAGAACTACTAAATGCTCTCAATAGTGGAGAACTATGCCTCAGCATCTTTATCACAATTTCTAAGAGTTTTCTTTGACAACTTACTGTGTAGGTTGTTACTTTTTAGGGGTGGGGTGGGATAGGGTGGTTTCTTATATCTACCATTTAGATTCTTGGTTTATATTTCTAATTCATACAGTCAAGGAATCTCCATTTTTATGGAGGAGGGAGAAAGTTAACCATTAGTTCAGGAAGCCATTCGTTCATTAGTTGGCAATTCAGTAAGGAATAGTACAGTTGGAAGTACTGCCAGTAAAATCGAGTTCTAGCTATGCCACTTTTCTAACATTTCATTTTAATATTTTTTATGTGTATGGGTGCACATAAACCCCATACATGCGTGTCCATAAACCATGCCTGTGCTGGTGCTGACAGGCCCCAAAAGGGTATCGGATCCCCTGGACCTGGAGTTCTATACAGTAGCAAGTGGCCATGTGGCTGCTGGGAATTAAACCTGGGACCTCTGAAAGAGCAGTCAGTGTTCTTAAGCACCGAGCCATCTTTTCAGCTCTACATATTTTAAGTTTTAAAAGATATGCATATGGTGTATGTATTTGTCTGTGTAGAGGCCACAAATTGTTACCTATTATCTCCCTCTCTGCGTCTCCATCCTTTTAGATCACTGTTTTGATTTTCAGGTCTCTTGGTGGCCTACCTAGTCCCTCTTGCCTCACCCCATATCTCCAAGCACTGAGATTAAAGAGGTGCCTGGGCCTGGAGTCTGAATCTCTATGCTCATGCTTGCTTCATGAGCATTTTATTTGCTCAACTATCTTCCCTGGCCCTAACATTGAATTTTTTTTTAGAAACAAGACTATACTTTTGTCCAGCTGGGGTCCTGGGCTCCTGGACTCTCAAGGGATACTTTGGCCTCAGCTTCCTGAGTTGCTGGGGCTAGGCAGGCATGCTAGTGCCCTTTGTGCTGGCCTCAAGTACTTTTTTTTTTTAAGATTTTAATTTTTTTTAGATTTATTAGGTTATTTAGATTTTATATGTATATAGTTTTGTTTGCATGTGTATCTATGTTTCATGTGTGTGCCTGGTGCCTGAGGAGGTCAGAAGAGGGCACTAGATTCCCTAGAACTGGAGTTATGGATGGTTGTGAGACACTGTATGGGTGCTGGGAATTGAACTCAGGTTCTCTGTAAGAACAAGTGCTTTTAACCACTGAACCAAGCGTCTCTCCAGCCCCTCACCTACTTTTTTTTTTTTTTTTTTTTTTTGCCAAGACAGGTTTCACTATGTGGGGTGTTCTTGAACTCACTGTGTAGACTCAGCGAGTCTGCCTCCCTCTATTTCCCAAATCCGGGGATTAAAGTCTGTACCACCATGCCTAACCCCCTCAGTTTTAATCCCACACAGAACACCTAGAACAAAGGCACCTAAAAACAAAAGCATGGGATGTTTCTTTTGTCTTGTGTGGCCAAACAAATCATAAAGAGTATAGGTGTCTGCCAGAGGAAGGAACAGTGTAAAAAGTGCTGGCTTTTATCTTGTGTTTAGAACGGGCACTGGGAAGTTAAAAGTAACCAACATTTTTTTTTTCTCCAGGGCCTGACAATTCTTGATGCCAGCACCACAGTTCTTTGTTGCTAGATGTTTTTTGGTTGCTCCTCCTTTCTCTTATCTAAGGGTCTAAATAGTCCTTTTCTGCAAGTGCTTATGGTAGCTGGAAGACCAACCAGATGGACAAACTTTTTAAATATTGGGAATTCAAGCAAGGTAGGTCACCAGGCTTGGTGCCGCATGACTTTAATCCCAACACTTAGGAGGCAGAGGCAGGTGGATTTCTGAGTTCGAGGCCAGCCTGGTCTAAAGAGTGAGTTCCAGGACAGCCAGGGCTACACAGAGAAACCCTGCCTCAAAAGAACAGAAAGAAAAAGAAAGAAAGAAAGAAAGAAAGAAAGAGAGAGAGAAAGAAAGAAAGAGAGAAAGAAAGAGAGAAAGGAAGAGAGAAAGAGAGAAAAAAATTAAGAGAGGAAGAAAGGAAGGAAGGAAAGAAAAGAAAAAAAGAAAAGGTCTACACAGACCAGATGGCAAAAACAAAATGGGCGCGTGGGTTGCTTGAGACCTTTAGCGGTTAGCGGCATACTCGGGCTTGGGTTACAGGTCTATATTCAAATGGTTCACTTCGGTGATGCAATGCTATCCAGTATGGGAAGCACTGGAGCTGATATCACAAATTCATAGTTCTAGAGTTCAAATTTGCTTTATGACCATGCGGGGGGGTGGGGGCAGACAAAGCGGGAATACGTCAGTTCCTGTCTTCCCCTATAAAAGGTGCTGTTTCGCGCGCGTCCGGCTCGGGAGCCGTTGGTGGTGGTGACCTGTCGGGGGACACGGACACACACACCGGAAAGCAAGTACACAAATGGTGGGCTAAGGTAGGCACCGGTCTCATTTTAGTGGCTTTAATGAGACACACCACTACAGTGGGCCTTCGGTTCTGTGTAGGAACTTGGCAACTTTCGGACTGATGCCCCTAAGACCATTTTCCCTCACAGAAAAAAGTGCGGAGTGGGGCCGAGAGTGTAGCTGAGGCCTTGGGTTTACTGCGAAGGTCTTGAGAAGTTCGTGAGGAACTGGGGTGCGGGGCGGGACACGGACAACCATTAGACGACGGAGTGAGGTGATTTTGAGAGTCGTGAGGATGCGGGGACTGAGAAGGTTGATGGCCGACTGTTAGACGACGGAGTGAGGTGATTTTGAGAGTCGTGAGGATGCGGGGACTGAGAAGGTTGATGGCCGACTGTTAGACGACGGAGTGAGGTGGCCTTGAGAAGGGCGGTGGGACTGGTAGACACCCGAGTGGGGTGGTCTTCAGAAAGTCTTAGCCGTCGTGAAGATGCGGCGTGTGGGGGGCAGGATATGGCCGACGGCTGGCCGAGTGGGGTGGCCCTGAGAAGCGGATGAGGACGGGGGAGGTGGTGGGACATGGACAACTGAGAAGGCCGTGGAGGCAGCGGGGCAGACACGGACAATGGAGACGGCGAGAGGGGGCAGGGCGGGGCTGTGGCGGACACAGTCAATGGGCAACTGAGAAGGCTGCTGAGTCAGGGTGATGGCGGACACGGGCGACGGAAAAGGTCGAGGGGGGCGGGACAAAAGGCCGAGGGGGGGCAGAGCACGGGCGACGGAAAAGGCAGAGGGATGTCAGATACAGGTGACGGAAAAGGCCGACGACGTGGGGCGGGACATGACGGAAAGGGGCTTCGGACGTGGGCCGAAGAATGTTGACGGATAAGGCCGAGGGGCGTCGGACACGGGAGACGGAAAAGGCCGAAGAGTGTCGGACGAGTGACGGAAAAGACCGAGGGGCAGGACGCGGGAGACGGAAAAGGCCGAAGAGTGTCGGACGGGTGATGGAGGGACACGGGAGACGGAAAAGGCCGAAGTGGGGTGGGACAGGGGCAACAGAAAAGACC